TCTTTAGCCTGGAAAAGCGCAGGCTCAGGGGTGATCTGATGGCTACCTATAAATTTATCAGGGGTGACCACCAGTATCTGGGGGAATGTTTGTTCACCAGAGCGCCCCAAAGGATGACAAGGTTGAACAGTTATAAACTACTGCAAGACAGTTTCAGGCTGAACATAAGGAAGAATTTCTTTACTGTCCAAGCCCCCAAGGTCTGGAACAGCCTGCCATCGGAGGTGGTTCAAGCACCTACATTGAACACCTTCAAGAGAAAACTGGATGCTTATCTTGCTGAGATTCTATGACCCCAGCTGACTTCCTGCCCTTCGGGCAGGGGGTTGGACTCAATCTTCTGGAGGTCCCTTCCAGCCCTAATGTCTATGAAATCTAGTTGTCTCTTCCTGTTTGCATGGAGCACTTGTGCTTTTCCTAGGTACTATTACAAGAGAAACACCAAGCAATAGTTATAAAAGTAGTCTCTAACAACCCTACTTAGTATCAAGAGAAATAGTCCATCCTTAGTGTCTGTGCTTATTTGCATGAGGACAGCACAGTGTTCCTTGTCACAGTTGTGATCCAGACTGAACTTAAAGGGGGGAAAGGAGGAAGAGCCCATAGCCTGTTGAATGAATAAAAAGGAGCAACGGGATTTTACCATTTAGCACAAGGGAGGGACAATCGGTCCTGTCGATCCCAAGGACATGCATGCTTTAATGCCACATTCAGCACACAATGTCCCCCCGTTCCATGAGAAAGCACTAGGAGATGCCAAAATTCACATCCTCATTCATCCATCTCCAAACAAGCGCAGGCACTAAGGAAAGAAACAGACAATGCCTTTGTACTGCCAAGCAAATGGATGTCTGTATCATGTTACAAATGCCCAACATCTGTGGATGTGACAAAAGTGATACTAGTTTCTGCTGTTTTATTGCTGCAGACATCTGTTTGCTGTATGGTACAAGAATGCAGGTAATCTAGAGCTACCTGGGCTCTCCAGCTACCCTGACCAGGTGCTCCAGGGGCTTGCAGGGCCAACTCGTGCATGGGAATTCCTGCGGTGTGTGGGATCCAGAGCCAGGAACACCTGCCTGGCTTTCCCTTCTTACAGAGGCACATCCTGGGCAATCTCTAGGGCATATTTCTGTAAGTGAGGAAAGTCAAAGTTCCCTACCTAGAGACATGTACCAGAGATTGCCTGGGGCATCTCTCTGCAGGTGGGAAAACCTGGCTTTCCCCACTTAGAGAGACATGCCTTGGAGATTCCCCAGGGCACGTCTCTAAGTGGGAAGGACATTACCTGTTGTGCTGCAGGAACAGGACTCTGCTCAATGAGGGACAATGGACAATGTATGTTTCACCCAATGAAGCAGATCAGTTGTGGCAGAACACATCTCAACACAGCCGATCAGCTTCATTTGGCAACTTCTGTTTATACCCTCAGTGATAATGTTTTCTATGCATCAGCAAGATGAGATTTTCCAGCAATGAGTGGGAAGCAGCTGGCATTGATGCCCAAGATGTTTTCCAGGGCAAGAACTAGGTATTCACCTTCAGCACACTTGATCACATTTATTTTGCCAGTAACATTATGTACATTTAAAGTGGAAGGTAGCATTGCATGCTCACTAATAGCACTGACATTTCAGGAAACAAAATTATTTTTCTCTTCTTAAAGAGATGGATCTAGCAGGCTAGTAGCACAGCCAAGAATGGTTCTCTAGCAGACTGCAATCCAGGGCACCACTTCTATTCAGTCACAACACATTATTTTTTTGGGGGGAGGGGTGGGGGAGGGGGTGGAAAACAGGGACAACACAGAAAATGCTCTTCTAATCTTACTGCATAGCAAAAGCCTCTGTACCACCCAAAAGCCCAGAGAATCCCACATAGCATGGTTCAAGTCAGAAATGCATCAAGGCATATATCCTAGCTAGGTTTAAAAAGGTCACAGAACTCATGGGAACATGTTCTACATGAAAATTATGCACAACTCTCCCAAAGGCAGCAGGTTATCAAAAATGAACCATGCAGATAAAACTGCAGAAGCCAAATACACAAAAAACTGCTCTTGCTGAAACAATCTATTATCTTGATTTTTTTTTTTTTTTTTTTTTTTTTTTTTTTAAGTAATAACTAAAAAAAATTTTTTTTTAAACCCTTTGAAAAAAAATTTTTTTTTAAACCCTTTGAAAAAAAATTTTTTTTTAAACCCTTTGAAAAAAAATTTTTTTTTAAACCCTTTGAAAAAAAATTTTTTTTTTTTTTTTTTTTTTTTTTTTTTTTACTGTTAAGTCATAGCTAAGCAACAGTTGATTGCTAATGGCTTAGAATGAATATTTCTTGTTATCAATATTTTTATTTGCATCCTAAAAATGCTGGCAGGATGGGTGTGCTGCCCAGCCCAACAAAAGGAAGTCCTCTCACTGTTTGCAGATGCTACTATATTCCAAATTTCACCCACAGAAACATTCCCCCATCTCTTATTTTCTAAGCTGCTTTCCTTACACATACTACTGAGATATTACCTTTGGATTTAATATCTCACTACAAAGAAGTCTGACCTGTGTGATTCATGGGCATCTTTTCCCTCCCCCTTTTCTACCTTTACAAGTATGAATACAATGGGTCTCAGTTCTTCAAGCTTATTATTGTACAAATTCCCCAAACTCTTGTTTTTTTACTCCACCAGTGATGCAACATAGGCCATGTCCACAAGACTGTGAATATTTGGTTCCTTGGGGACAACTAGCAGTGGCACACCTGGTCCTGCCGCTAGTTATCCCCGGGCAAACCTGTGCCACGCACCCTCTGGTGCACGGTAAGTTACCCTAGATGGGGTAGAGGAGGCTAGGGCCAACACCGGGTTGGCCCCAGCAGCCTTACCTGGGGGCCTCCAAGGGCTGCAGCAACAGCAATCCTGCCACTTGGAACCTGGCTGGCAGCCAAAGCATGACTGACTGGCCCAGTTCGAGTTTTGAGCAGCGCATGCTGGCCCCACATGTGCTGCTCCGCAGGTTTTTTTTTTTGCATGTTTTTTTTTGATTCCTGGATATCTAGGGGTCAACCCCCTCTCTTCCCGCACTGCTCCCTTGCAGCACAGAGAACACCTGAACATGTGGTATGTGGTGCTGCAGACATGTGGCACTGCAGATGCACCACACGGCCACACTCATCTAGACATGGCCATAAGATGCGAAGGAATATTGCAACCCAGTTTGCTCTCCAATGCTCATTTGTGCTTAATCCTCTTGCATAGCATGACCGTGCATTTCTCAGTGTTTCTGCATCAACTACCTTTGACCTCGATTTCCTTATTTATTTTAACATTTCTGCAAAGTATTCCATGAGAGATTACTATATTATACATAAGAGAGATATTTCATACCTGTCTTTCTCCAAGAGATATTCCAAATGTGTTAAAAAGGTTTTCAATATAGGAGATTATGGCTGCATACACAATCGGGCTTCTAGGGGATTCAACTTCCTGTTAAAAACCACAGAAACAAGTTGTCCAGATAAGTTTGCTACAGAAGGAATATTTCAACCCAATTTGCTCTCCAATGCTCATTTGTGCTTAATCCTCTTGCACACCATGACCGTTCACAAAATGCACCTCTCCAGCCTTGCCAATATTAACCAGCTCTGTGGATACATCATCTCACCCACGTAGGAGCACTTTTTCAGAAACAAGTCTTTTGCCAATTTACCTTACATCACTCATGATGAGTTTGAAGCTAGACTGAGACAAGAGCTTTTTCTCCAAGAACAAGAGTGGTGTGCAGAAGTGTCATTTCAAATTCACCTCTTACCCTATATGGAAGAAGTTTTCTACAAACACAAAGAAAACAAAACAAGCGACTCTAAGGATATCCAGGTGAATTTGCTGTATAAACCCCTTTTGAACATTACTCTTGACTTATTGATTTAGATCTTGCAAAGACTGTTTTGAAACAGCTTACAGAATTTGACTGCCCAGAAATAGTGTTTTAAACACTGCTTTACTTACTACTTCTATATTTACCCAACGTTAATTCAAAATTAAAATGCAAGAACAGGAGAATACACTTGAAGGGCAAAGACCTGGTTAGCAAAGAGTTATAGCACAAGTATAAGATGCAGCAGGAAATGGTTCTGGGTCAGGTTTTATTCAACATCTTCATTAATGATTGGCATAAACATAAATAGCATGAAATTTACAAAAAGTATTCAAGTCGAAAAGTAGCTGAAACCACAGCCAAGAAAATCAAATACAAATTATGCACCAGAGATTAGACACATGGGAAGAAACAACAAAATGAATTTGTTTGGGGAAAATGCAAGCCAATGCATCTCAAAGGGAAAAGATCTGAACACTTGTATGGTACACAGGAGGCAAAGCACAGGAAGCAGCAGTGCTCAGGGAGATGCTCGGCAGCACATTCAGAACTGCGGCAAGGAGGAATCTACGTAGAACGATAAGGCTGCCTAGGCCATGGAGTCCAGTCCCCTGCATTCGCAGGCACTCATTAACTAAAGGTTTCCCCAGAATTGCCACCCTGAACCCTCGACCCCACAGAACAATATTCTCACAACAGGTCACAGGCAGATATCAGGAAAACAAGTCTATTGCCAATGTACCACCACTGCGAGGAAATTAGATCAGATGTAGCTGCCTCAAATGCATCATCCAATTAACAAAAATCTCAGATCTTCTGACAGTTCAAACAAATGTGTGAAGGATCTGAACTGCAAACTGAGATTGGCTCAGAAGAACTTTCTAAAGAAATGGGAAGGTGAGGACTAAGAATCTAAATCTGAGACTGGTATTCCTACAGGACTGACAGAAGACAGGGATTTAAAAAAAAAGGTGAATAAAACTCATCTTTCATAGTTTCTAGGTTCAGAAGGGACCTGAGCAGATCATCTAGTCCAACCCCCTGCCATGGCAGGAAAGAGTACTGGGGTCAAA